GAAAAGGGAGAGAGAGAGAGAGAGAGAGAGAGAGAGAGAGAGAGAGAGAGAGAGAGAGAGAGAGAGATCCCTTTTCTCTAAACAATGGAATTGACATTTGGCTCATGATATAGTTGTGAGAACTCAGTAATAAGCATTTTTCAAACAAAAAGTGTGTACTTGCTTCATTCAATCGTTACTTAGCATTGTGGTGCAGTCATCTACTGTCTCATCCCTGCTGAGGGATAGAGGACTGTGTATTCATTCCTATCTCCTTGAACACTAGCACCGTGTCATGGACATAGTAGAACTTCATTCATTTATTCAGTGCCTACTCACTGAGCATGCTGAATGAACTAGACACTGTCCTGGGCTTATGTCTTGCTGCAATAAACAGGCGATCCCTGCTCTGCTTGCTGAAACTTGCTAAGCTGATCTTTCCCATTGCATTCATGCATTTAGCTTGCAGGCATGGTTATAAAATTCATCTTACCTCCACCAGTGCCAAAAAGTTTCCTTGGCAATGACATGATCATTCTGCCTTACCTATTTTATGAAGTATGACAGGAATACATTATACAGCACCTGAAACCGCAAACTGTGCCTGTGATGTGGACTCTTGTGAAGGTACCAACACCCCATTGGCAAGTGTCCATTGTAGTTCTTTTTTTTTTTTTTTTTTTGTCTTTTTGAGATGGGGTCTCGCTATGCAGTTCAGACTGGCCTTGAGCTCACTTTGTAGCCCAGGCTGGTCTCAAATTGCAACGATCCTCCTGCCTCAGCCTCCCGAGTGCTGGGATTACAGGTGTGTGCCACCATGCCCAGCATTCCATTATAATTGTTAACAGTGTGTGTTTTGTGCGCCCTTCAAAGTATTAATTATCTAATTTTTCATCTTTGTATCTCCCTCTGCCTTTTGGAAATGCTTGATTTATAGGTTCTCAGTTAAGTGATTATTGATAGAATAAAATAATGGAAAGGATGGTAAACATTTGCACTGGCTACTAAATATTTCAAAAATATATACTTCATTTATTCATTTAGCAAATACTAAGCAAATGCCCACCAGTGTATTATTAGCCATGTTAAGTATTATATAGCATATATTGCTGCCTCACATTGGCTACATTTGGATGTATCATTTTGCTTTTCTATTTTCCAGCACTTAAAATTTAAAAAGCCTAAGGGCAAATAGGAAACACATTGAGAAGTTACGGGAAAAGGTCCACTTAAACATGTGCTATCACTAGCCTCCCAGCTGAATTTGACATTAGTTTATTAAATCCATTCCCAATGGTTTTCCAAAGTTGCATCTTTCAATACAAATTAAATCCATGTTCATAGCAGCGCAATTTGTAATTGCTAAATTGTGGAAGCAACCCAAATGCCCATGCACTGACTGAGGAATGGATAAAAAAATTGTGGTACTTTTATATAATGGAATATTACTCAGCTATAAAGAAAGGTAAACTCGAGGCTTTTACAGGTGAATGGTCACAACTCGAGACCATACTCATAAGTGAAATAAACCAGACTTCTGTGTGTAAGCAGCGTATTGTCTCACTAGTGTAAGAACCTGAAAGAGTGAATAAAAGTTAGGAGGTATGATCGACATTGTGAAATGAAAGGAAAATGCTCAAAAGTAAAGAGCAACTGGGATGAGGGAAAAGAGAAAAGAAAGAAGGGGAAACTGTATGTATGTATATACAGGATAGCTAACATAATTGTACTACTGTCTTCTATTGCTGTACAGAAAGGAACATTGATGTAATACTTCAACTCAGTTTAATGATTACTTATTTGATCAATCTTGCATGTCTCTATTTGTTTTCCTGAGAAACCACTTTGAAGATATCAATATGTAATACAACAACCATTGTTAGTTTCCTACCACTTTGTCTGTAACTCTGTATTGTGTGTTGTTCTTATGCTATTTTGTAAATGGATGTCTGTTGATATGTTTTCCTTCTATTTTTAAAATAAATTTTAAAAATAAAAATTAAATTAAATCTTGAACATAGGGGTAAAAGGGCTGAGAAGGAGCCAGCTTCCCCCCAGCAGCAATACTCAATGCCTTGGAATCACTGTTTATTTTGTTTTGGAGTTTAACATCTAGTTGGCTGGAAATCCAGCTATTAATATTCTGGTAACTTACTTTGTTGTACAGTGCCTGGAAAGTCTGGTCATTAAGAAAAGTGTTTCAACCCATTTTTCTGAATGTTTGCATAAAATTCATATATGTTACTTAGAAAATTTCAAGAAATAAGAATTTGAAGCAATTTCAAGTTGTGTTCCATTTCTGTGGGTGTTCCAAAAGTGGGTCACTACCCATTGAAGTGTTTAAAAGCAGAACGTGAGGCTGGGGATATAGTTCAATGGCACAAGCACCTGCCTGGCAAGCGTGAGGTCCCAAATTCAATTCCCGGTACCAATAAATAAATAAATAAATAAATAAATAAATAAATAAATAAAAGCAGGACATTGTGGCATATGCCTGCAATCCCAGCACTCCAGAAACTGAGTTGGAAGTATTACCTCAAATTTGAGGCCAGCCTGAACTACAAAGCAAGACACTGTCTCAAAAAAAAAAGAAGAAAAAAGGGTTTAAAATGTAAATACTAACATAGTTACAAATCTTAACAGCTTTCCTGTATAATATAATAATATTAAAATTATAGTTAATGGATCTTAGATAACTGTATTTAGCACTTATAAATAACTTGTTATATAAGAGTTCTAGGTATTACTATGCAGTGTTATGGTAATGAGTTTATTAGTATTAAATTTCTTTAAGAAAGCAAGGACCTTAAATAAAGCTAATAACGAGTAAGAAATTATTTCAGAAGTACCTTTGGAAAAAATATTAAAACTCCAAAAATAAGAGTATTTTATTATTAACCATACTACATTTATTTAAAAGCCAGGACACATGAAAAAAATGCGAACACACAAATTTTGAAGAACAGCTTCTGTTTATCAGTTAACTTGGTCAATATTACACAATGAAATACCATTTAAAATATAGAAATCATTTTGTGAATTCAGTCACCAAATATGGCAAATAGTATTATTTCTACATAAAAAAGTTGTAACCATAAGAGACATATTAATATCACAAAAACATTAAACAGAATTTTAAAATGTTCTGTCTTTCTTATACTATTAGTATTAAGCAAGTCTTCAAATACAGGACTATAAGCAAATAAAAATAGAAAGTTTAGAAACTTTCACAATCCCAAATTTTCTATATAAAATGGCAAAAAATCCCTATAGGAAATACATCTTTCTGATTAAGATTACATTTTCAAATATAAGGCATTTATTGCAAAGAGCAGCAGCTTTTACATTGTTTAAAAGAAGCTAGTAGCAGCATGTAAAAATAATATTACAAATAACTAAATAAAACAATTTGTATCATAAAAAGATTAGTATAATTTAAAAAGGAAGCACCTTTCTTTCATTTCAAAAAGACCTGTGGACTAAGGCTCCTATCTCAGAATAACCCCCTTAAGAACACTCAGGTTTTTAAAAATGTAATGAGTTGTAGAAGAATACACTCCAATCTAATTACTAACTGTGTTTAAAGAACACAGGCTACATCTACATAAGAAGCTAAAGTGCAATAGGGGCAGTTAAAGTGCGTTCACTTATACACTATGTTTTAAATGCGTTAATACAAGCAAGCACAGCTGATACTCTAACGCTGTTGATCTCACATACTTCTCAGTGATAAACTAGATCACACAGTAGCATGTTTGCTGGGGCTTATTATTTCCTTTTCTAACGTGTAAACAAAGAGCAGCTAAGCAGTGTCATAATTTGTAGCTATGCTAAGACACATTTCAAACTGAGAAACAGTTCAATTTCGTGCCTGTAGAACAGCCTGGTGGGCACCAGGAATTGTGAAGGAAAAAAATATAGAACAAAACAATTGACTATAGGAAGTCAGGCATTTGGGTAAATATATTCCATATGTGACCAGTAAAGGTGAATGTATTGTGTGTAAATGTATTATATATAAATATATTAAACGGAAGGTTCTTATAGGGGCATTGATGTCCCTAAGATGCTGAGATCTCAAATGGTTGCAGCTCTGGTTGGCTATCTTCCTGACAGTCTGATTTCTGCCTTTGTATATAAGCAGCTGTTGCTTATCCATGCCACACAATGAGGAAATCTGAGTGCAAAATTAAAATATTGTGATAAAAATATATATGTTTTGGGCTGGGGATACAGCTCAGCGGCACAAGAGCCTGCCTGGCAAGCGTGAGGTCCCAACTTCGATTCCCAGTACCAAAAAAAAAAAAGTATACATGTTTTATTTGTAATAAAGTGAGATTTTCCATCGAAACTTTTACAAAATGTGTAAAATTCTGAAATATGTGCACAAGAAGGGTTTTCTTATATAATAAAACATAATATTTCTCTCGACTTTTGATTCTAAATGCAAAAATTCTTTCTTTTCACCTGGAATCAAGCTTGTCTTCTATCACAGGACATGCGGGTATAGAATAGTGGTGGGAAAGGACTACAGATAAAAGCTATGTTGTTCTGTCCAAACAGTAAGCCTTCATTTCACTACCCATTAATGTGAGAACTCTGGGGTTACTTTTTCCCTTATCTCATGTTTGAAGTATTTCAAAGCTAATTTTGTATATGTTTACTTGGTTAACGGGTCTTGGTTTCTCAAAATGAAGCCCTAATCTACCAAGTAGACAGATAATCCATCGAAACGTATGTCTGCTTGTGGTCTTCCACTCAAACTTCAGTCTGTCTGTCAAAGGTAAGCAACAACCCCCCAAATAATCTGAAAAGTAGCGAAATATACCTGCCAAAAGTGAGGGCTGGCTCTGCGCCTCCTGCAACATTTTCTAAAATATTTTTGTTATCGCAATTGATGATCTTGGGCTTGCTTTGGTGGCACATACACTAAAATTGGAATGTAATTGATCATTTTATGTGCTCCTCTATCTTCTTGATGAATGCTGTGGTGTTGGAGAGCTTTCAAAATACATGAAGTCCTGAAATTGGAAAATAAATTCTATGTAGATAGACCGTCAGATACATATGATACGTTCAATATTACTCTTTATATATCCCCAGGAGAATTTCTTATTCTAGTGAAAATAAATAAATGTCATATGTGAAATCTTTATGAAGATGACAGTGGTATGCGTAATTACAAATCTGGAGACGTGGAGCAGACAAGAAGCTTTGCCTCTTGAGTAGTGATTAATAAAATGTCACCATTAAAAGAAAGGAGAAAACTGCTAACCCTAAGGCTGGAACACACTAAGGACTACAATGACAAAAAGGCAGTAAGGCAGGAGGAAAGTGATTGCAGGTGTAGCGTTATTTTATTTCACTAGAAATCACAGGACAGGTATTTTTAAGTAATGAGAATGACAAATACGATGAGCCGATGGCAGTTTTATCTATCAGATGCCTAACAGATTATAACTACTCTCCTGGCTATTTTAATCAGGCAATACTTAACACAGCTAACCCTGAAAAATGTACGTGTTTTCATCTCCATTTTATACATGAGCACACTGAGGCTCACATGTCTTAAACATTTGGAGAAATGTGTGTCTAGACAGATTACAACTGGCTGGTTTCAGAACTTCATCCCGTCTTATGATAGCATACTGCATCTCATCGGAAAGAGTGCTTCTCTTAGGATAATTCAAAAACCAAGGCTTACGATAAGGAAACAAGCTCCAAGAATCATGGCTTTCATCTTCACATCCAGGTCCAGTGGGAAGTGAATGTCAAAGTGGTCAGCATTTCCCATTGTGGACAGCAAACCGTCCCACTTCCTGATAATACTGCCAATGTCGGATGCGCCATTCAGGGATTGGACCTACAATGACAAGCATGTGATTTTACCATAGAAAGTACTAAAGGACATTGTTTTAAAGTTCCACTTAGAAGCAGCATAAATACAAGGTAGAAAAAGAACATAGTAATTGCCTAATTTCAAAGGAGCAAATCATGAGCACGAAGGACCGAGTATCTTGAAACTGGTTAGTAACTGAGCTGTGCTATATCTTAGCAATTCTCAGGCTAGTGCACTTTCCTCATCTTCAAATGATGTATTAAGGGGACCTTGTCAGAGAAGATGGCCCTTGAAGTGATTATTAATTCTTCATATAGCAAAGGATGAGAAATGGAGAACAGAAGGAAGTCACCGCCAATCTAGGTGTGGTAGTTAAGGCTTAAAAAAGAAAAGATTTAATACAGGACACATAATTTATAGGATTGTTGTATAATATTCACACAAAGAGTCAAAAACAAAACAGAGTTTGGGAGATCTGCCCACACACTAGCAACTCCAAGAATCCAGCGGAGGACCTGGTCCCCACAGCAATGTCCTCCATGCATCCAGCTGGAGTCCCAGAGCCCACAACAATATCTCATGCACGTCTGTATCAAGGATCTGCACTGGGAAGGCCCAAAGGTCAGTGCTGGAAGCTAGAAAGTCTGTGCCAGCAGGATAAAGGCTCTGTGCCCCCAGGCTGAGAGAGCTGCACTGGAGCTAGGAAATGACGCTCAAGGTAAGGACGAGAGCTCCCCTGAGAACTACAGCCATCCTCAGTGACAGGAAGGCCCCAAGCTCCTTTGATGATAACGGCTGAGTTCATATCAGGAAAGCCAGCATGATAAGCTTCTCCAGGAGACTCAACAGCACACCATCTTCTCCTCTGATTCTCCTTTTATGCTGCTAGCATCAATGCTCGGGAGAGCCTTCCACACCTAGAACTATGCTGATTGAGCTCAGCTGGGTGTTACGAGTTGAACATTCGTTAACCCATTACACTAGGGAAACCTATCAGCAGAAGTAGGGATGCATGGTACTGTACGCTACACATCATTCAATCTTCTGTGGGACAGATCCACCCTGTTACCATACAGCAGAATGGAAAAGCCTTCTGCTTGTAAAAGGGGGATCCTGGCACTCCTCACGGATGTCATAGGAAATATACACAAAAAAGCAATTGCAAGCAAGTGCTCTTTAACAAAAGCAGGAAATATTTCTAGGAATTTCATTTGTCAGATGTGTATATTAACAAGCAATCACTCTGTAGTCCTTCTGATGAGACAAAAAGATTTTCTTCCAGAGAAAATATTACAGTATAACTTATTATGAATTTTATTCATATTATCAGTGTTATCCTATTTTTTGAGATGCAGATCCACTTCTGTCATGTAAATACCCAATTTTTACTTTATATGTTCTGTGATAGCTTTGGCAGTTGCACAGAATCTATATGCTCATCCTGGAAAGTGTTCAAGTAAGTACAACCAAAAATACAGTAAATTGATCAGGTCAGGTTACTGCCTCTAAAAAATTTTAATGTTTTGAGTGTTCCTTTATGTCTATCATAAGCACTGAAATAAAAAGAAAAAGTAGCCCACATTTTGAAAAATGTGGAAGAATCCACTAATAGTGACTTAAAAATTAATTGGTATCTACTGATTAATTAACTCTTCATACTACTTTATTAATTCACGTAAAATTACCTAAGCCTTGATCATTCGGTGGTCTCTCAGGAAAAAATAGTAGAAACATGTGCACAATGTTTACCTCAAAAACAGAGTCTGACCCACAGCCATAGGTTGAGCAAGGTCCGCGCACTCTCATCATACTCTCTCTCTTCTCGTTTTGGATACTATAGACCGCTCTGCACAGGTTCCAGTGTTCTGCCACAAAGCCAATGGTGACCCCAGGAGGACACTGCACCTCCAGCTGTGAGGAAGGTAGTGACAGAGTAAGGAGTCACACTCTTACATATATATAATCACACAGGGACACAACCAAGATGTGTGTTTATAAATTCGAGGTCTAAGGAAACCAATGATGGGAGAAGAGTCTCCCATCTTACCTGGAGCACCCTCAGGTTTGTACTTAGCAAGCAGCCTTGAGGGCTGGGATCATGTTTCCTTTTGGGGCAAAGAGTGGCTTAATAACTGCTTGCTTCAGATGCCCACTTTTGGACTGGGTCTTTAAATTTGGAGTGTGTGATTTTTGGGGGTTCTTTATATATTCTAGGTATTAGTCCTTCATCTGAGGAATGAATAGCTGATAAAAAGTTTTTACCATTCTGTGATTCTGCTGGAATGAATAGACACTTTTCAGATGAAGAGGTACAAAGAGCAAATAAATGTGTGAAAAAATGTTCAACATCAGGGGTCACTCAAGAAATGGAAATTAAAATGACAGTGAGATTCCATCTCACTCTAGAAAGAGTGTCTACCATCAGGAAATGAAACAAATGCTGGTGATGCAAGGGAACAGGGGAAGGAACCCTTCTCCACTGCTGGTGGGAGTGTAAACTGGTACAACCACTATGGAAATTAGTATGGTGATTTCTCAAAAATGCTAAAAGTAGAGGTTCCATTGACCCAGCTATTCTTCTTCTAAGTATCTTCCTGAAAGAGTTAAAAGCGTCATACCATAGCGATTTACGCACATCCATGTTTAGAGCAGCGAGGTTCCTAACAGCTAAATCTTGGAAACAGCCCAGGTGCCCATCAGTGGGTGAATGGATAAAGCAAGTGTGGTTTCTATATACAGTGGAGGATAACTCTGCCGTAGAGAAGGATAAACTTGAGACATTTTTAGGTAAATGGACGCACCTCAAGAGGATAATTTTAAATGAAATAAACTGGACACACATGATTAAATACTGCATTGTTTCTCTTGTGTCAGAAACCCAAAGGGTAAATAAGGACCAAAATGGTGGAAGAAAATTCACATGGAAAAGGAAACAGGTGCGGGAGAAGGAAGGGAATAGGTATTGAAGAAAGAATGGCAGGAAAACAGCAGAAACAAATTTTTATAAATGGAGAGGGAAAGGATTGAAGAGAGGGGAATGAGGAAGGAAAGGTTTAAGATACATTATGTACAGATACAAATTCCCTGTATGAATGTGGTCATTACATATGTCAAAAATGTACAAATAAAATTATTTTTAAAATAACCACTTTCTATAAGATTGACAATGGTGCAAGCTCAGTGGTTTTAGCTGTATGTACAATATCACCTGCATACACAGCACCTCTGAGTCAACCCTGGGAACCTGGGGACAAAAGGGACCTTCACAAAAATAGTCATGCTCATTTTGCCTGCACTGGTTTATCAATGTTCTTTGTCTCTGATCTTGGAGTCCCATGTCTTCTGACACAATCCATGAAACGGAAATAGGCTAACTTCTTAGACAATGAACCAGGTAAAATCAGATTTCAGAAATGACAATACAACAACAAAAAAAAAGGAAAAGAAGCTTGCTTCTTGAAAATTGAATATAGTATTTATGAATGAAATTGAATATAGTATTTATGAATGAAAATTGAATATAGTATCCCCCTTCATCCATTGGGGATAAGACCTCCAGCAGACGCATGGAAGTGCAGATAGTCTTAAATCATATATACTATATTTTCTATATATATGGAAGTTTAGTTTATAAATTAGGCATAGAAGAGATTAGTGACAATCAGTAATAAAATAGGACAGTTGTAACAGTACGATAGAATAAAAGTTATATGAGTGTTTTCTTTCTCATCTGCCACAGCTTTAGCCACTATGCAGTCAAGATGTTCATATATGTAAATTCACACCCATACACAAACATACAAATTTGATAGTTTCCTAGAACCCACATCTCATATACATTTAAACCTATGAGATTAAAAAAAAATCATGGTTAAAAAAAAAAAAAAATCATGGTATTTATTGTACCTTTTGGATTTTATTCAGTCTCACAAGTTCTCACACCAAAGAGACAATATGGTGACTACACATGTGGGTCTGATTTATTTCATTTATGAGTATGGTCTCTAGTTGCAACCATTTACCTATAAAAGCCTTGAGTTTACCTTTTTTATAGCTGAGTAATACTCCACTGCAATTACTGTCCAAACAACCTTAATTTGTGCTTGAATCACTAAGTATCACTTAAGGTGCATAAGCCCACAAGAAAAACATCCTTCTGGAGTTCTCTTTAGTGAAATGATTTGGCTTCCTCCCTCCTCTCTATCTCCTTCCATTTGATTGGCGGAGCCAGTGAAATCCCTCCTCGAGTAATTCTGGGAGAAGCACGACCATGCATGAAGGGTTGGATCAGGAAGAAACAGGACTAGACTTCCGTTTTCTGACCTCTTGCCTGGCTGAGGGGCAGCAGAAGCAGCAGCAGGTGCATCGGAAAGGTCTCTGCATTGTCATGATCTCGCGGCCTGTGCAGTCAGTGACCCGGAGCACGAAGGGCCTTAGCGTACGGTAAGCATTTCTGGTGAAGTCATCTGTGTCTTCAGTTACCACATAAACCATCTGGTCTATGTTATTTTTAATATCATATCTGTTGTTAGTTTCAAAACTTGTCATCACTAAAAGATAAAACGACAGAAACTTCTTAAATTAGAACCAGTTAAAAGGGGCCTCAAGGATTCCCTGTTTAAAGAAGAGTATCTGAGTACTTCTTAAGGCTTAAAGCAAAATAGGCTTTTAAAAATTTAAGGTGCAATATATGCCAATGATTAGAATGCCCAGAAAAATTCACAGGACTTACAAGTAGTAACTAATTTGGGAAACTGAGGATATTTTCTAAGATGACTATGATTTTGATAGCTTTCCCACATAAAAAGTTAAAAAAAATATTCTTGGTGAAAGGCGAAAAATCTGAATTGAGAAATCTTCAATTATAAAACCACTTAAATGCAATTACACACCAAAGCATAAGGTGAAATAACAAGGATCATGACTAACAGTAAAAAAGAAAAGCCAAGAAGCATCAAAGTCCAATGTGGCCAGGCGTGGTGGCACATGCCTGTAATTCCAGCACTCGGGAGGCTGAGGCAGGAGGATCGCTGCGAGTTCAAGACCAGCCTGGACTACAAAGTGAGCTCAAGGCTGGCCTGTGCTGTGCAGCAAGACCCTGTCTCAAAAAGACAAAAAAGAAAAAAAAAGTCCAATGTGGTAGCCAAGTGAGAAAGTGCAGAGGTAGTACTGATAAGGTCAGGGTTCCTGTATGGGTGAACTTGGAGCAGGCATCATTGCTACTGTTATCCTTTCTCCTGAAGTCCAAAGGAAGGGCAGTAGACTACAATTCAGCAAATTTGGACTTATTTCTAGCTCCACTACTAATTGGCCGATCATAATGTTCCTGGCTAATTCATTTAATTGCTGTTCTCCTGATTTTACTCATCTATGATGGGTGAATACGGATGACTCAGAATGGGTAAATGGTAGGGTGGGTTGACCCGATAAAGTGAAAGACTTCCCAGATCTAAGAGCTTATGCGTATATGGTGTAGAGATAAATAACATTATACAAAACGGTTGGCTTTATTGCTTTCTTGAAGACAGGCTAATAGAATATACCCTTATCTCTTTGAACCACTAAAACCTCATCAATACAAAGAAGGAACCAGATACTAGGTAATACAAATTTCCACCCGACAAGAATACTTCTGAACACAACAGTTTCTACATACGTTCCAGAGGCTCAAAATGCTGAAGAACATGTATGTTGTCCAACTGTAGGGATAGAACAAAAGCAATTAGAACATGGAAAAGAAATCAAATCTAATGAATATAAAAAGAGAAACTGATAATCAACCAATGTGTCAATCAATACCAAAATAACCTTTTAAAAATTGAATAGAATAAAAAAATCAATAGAAATTAGCTTATCTACCTCATATCAGATGGATATTAGCAGAGCTGTCCAGACAAGAAAAATACTATCTTCCAGTTTGTCTTTAAAATACAAAGAACTGGTGGATATATCAAAGAACATCTGTTTGCTGCAGCGAATAGTATTTTAAAAGTCAATCTGATTTCTTTCTGAAGGCCATATTTATTCCATTAAAAACACCCCTGCCCCCACCGTTCCCTCTTCACATTGCTACGGTCTCATAAACTAGACTTGTCATCACTGATGCACCCTGATTCATTCTACCCAGACTTTTGCCTTTTCTTGGTAGAGCCCTAAGGTCCTACTTCATAAGAAAACAATTTGGATTTGTGTGGAGTACCTGGGCTAAGTATTCCAGACCAGGAGGGCAGCTCAGCATAGGAGTTGGCCCTGGCATCCATGTTACTGGAGCAAGCTGATTTGAAGCAGGATATTTTCCAGGCTGATATTGGATAGGACGGTTACTACCAATTGGCTGGTATAAGGGGAAGGTAGTGGGCTGCTGTGGACTGTAGTATCCCATAGGCAAGCCTCCTGGGTATCCTGTAGGTGGAGGGACAGCTGGCCCAGGGGGTCCTGTGTTCCAAAAGAAACGCAAGTGTTACACGAAGATGAAATGGATCATGCAACATGTTCTTAACAACAACAAACTGTTTCATTTTTTTGTTGCTTTCTTGAGGCAGGGTCTCGTTATGTAACCCAGGCTGGCCTCATTTTCACGGGGATCCTCTTGCCTCAGCCTCCTCGGTGCCAGAATTACTGGCATGCATCACCACTACCAGCTCTAGTTGTGCCATAGTTTGAGTATGTACCATTTACAACAACGAACTGAGGGGATGTGTTTATATATCAAATTATTTAATCCTCTTAAATCATAATTATCCACATTTCAGAGATGAAGAAATAAGGTTTGAAAAATATTAAGTAACACATAGCTTTTCAATGCATTAAATTCCTCCTTATGAGATAATACACTTACTTTATTAGGTTATAGTAAGATTAGTGCAATGCCCACCACATGATTACCACTATAAATTTTTACTATGTTTATTGTTGTTATTGCTTAAAGTAACAAATATAGTGAGGTCTACTTCACAGGGGTGCTTTTAATGACCTCAGTGGGCTGCCTTGGATTCACTCTCTGAATTTTATTCTTTATGTCTAAATCTCAGACTGTTTCTCTACTCTGATACTTCTCAGATTGTTTCCTTTTTCTTCTATTTTCTTTTTCTCTTTCTCCCTTTCTCCCTTTCTTTCTCTTTCTTTTCTTTTCTTTTTTCTTTCTTCCTCTTTCTTTCTTGCTTTCTCTCTGTTTCTTTTCTCTCTCTCTCTCTCTCTCTCTCTTTCTCTCTCTCTCTCTCTCTCTCTCTCTCTCTCTCTCTCTCTCTCTCTTTCTCTCTTTCTTTTCCTTTCCTTTGTTTCTCTTTCTTCTGTGACAAGATGCCATTATACAGCCCAGTCTGACTTCAAAGGACTAGGTAGGTAGCTTCGTATAATAGCCCTGGATTCAATCCCCAGTACCATAGAGGGGGAAAAAAAATTCAGTCTATAGTCATTATGCTCCCACCATTTCTCTTCATTCTGTTCAATCAGATCTCTCATAAATTTTGTACCTGTCACAGCAAGTAAGTCAACAAACCTAGATTCCCATAAAGATATGCAACATTTTATGTCTGAAGGATACTCATAAAAATGAATTACCATACAATAACTGTATGTGATCTTAGGATTTTCTTTTACCAAAGACCCCTTAGGATAAATAGTGATAATACTGCATTTCACAATGATTATTTCTAAGTTCAAGGAATTTCTCACACATGGATATGCAAATGCCCACATTGCTAAGATGTACTACTAATGATCAAGATGTTAACAATTATTAATAATTTGTTATTTTTATTGTGCTGTTCAGACATTTACAATTAAGTTTCTGCAGGTAACTGAGTTCTAAGTGTTACACCTAGTATTTTATAGACTTAAATGAAATCCAGGGAATGTCAGAACTGTAAGCAACCAGAAAACCCTTTTCTCTCAAATTTCAAGAAGTCGGAGACAAGCAAAGAAATGTCTTCCTCCTCCAATGGAGATTTACAAAAGGAAAATCTTGTGTCAAGTCTTGTGGTTGAAAAGAAAAGGAAATTAATTCAAGATATTTCATGTTAAGATTTCAATATTTATTTTAGCTGAGATGAAATAAAATCAACTCTGTTAAGATTAAATAAAATCAACCTTGTATCAGCAGGGAATCCTATGGGAGACCTGACCTACAACATCTGCTGAAGCCTTCGTGGATGTATATGATAGGAATCCAAAAAACTGGACCTATATGGTTTATATTTTCAAAAATGTATGTTTAAATTTACTACTTTTGAATTTATGAAACAAATAATTTCAACATATTGTTTCATAGACTGTGGCTAATAATATATGCTACAAAATAATCTGGGGTTTTTGGGTCCTATTCCTACTGATTAAAAATGTCTAAGGCAATATTTAAGAAGGCAAACATCTCATTTTATTTATTCTTCTTTTAAATGTGCAATTCAGTGATATTAGTATACACTCAGGGTTGAATAACCGTCACCATTATCTAAATCGAGAAGTTTCATTATTGTTGAAAGAATACCCTTAGCCACTGGCACCCATGCCCTCTTCTTCCTCTCCCACACCAGGAAATCCAGGTCCCTACAAACTTGATGCTGGACATTTCATACACATGAAATCAACAGTGTGCAACCTTTGCTTCTGGTACCTTTCACAAGCATGTTTTCAAGTTTCATCCGTGTTGTAGAATGTATCAATACTTTCCTACTTTTATGGCTGAGCAACATTCTATTGTGTTGGTATATCTCATTATTTCTATCCTTTAATTCAGCTGATTTTCACTTTTCATAATTACAAATAAGACTGCTGTGACCATCCATGTTTTTCGGTTTTGATGTGGACATACATTTTCAATTCTCTCTTTAGGATTGAAACAGGTTGGACATTTGGTACCTCCATGGTTAACTTTTTGAGACACTTGTTTTCCAGAGTGTCTCCATCATTTTCCACTCCCACTTGCTGTCTATGAGAGTTCCACTCTCTCCACACCCTCGTTTTTATTTTGGTCATCTTAGTGGGTGTGAGGTGGTACTTTTTTGTGATTTTGATGTACATTTTACTGACAACTAATGATGCTGGGCATTTTTTTTTTATGTACTCACTGCCCATTTATATCCTTGGGAGAAATATCTATTCAAATTCTTTGCCTACTTTAAAATGGGATAATTTGCCTTTTTATTGCATTGAAAATGTTCTTTGTTCAAGATAAAAGTCGCTTGCCAGCTAAATGATTTTCAAGTATTTTCTGTCATTGTGTAGGTTGTCTTTTTTTTCTGTCTTGATAATGTCCTTCGATGCACAAAAGTAATGGATTTTTATAAAGCTCAATTTATCTATTTTTCCCCTTTGGTTGTTTGTGCTTTAGCTGTCATAACTAAGAATCTATTGCATAATCCAAAGTCATGAATATTTACACACACATCGTCTCCTAAAAGTCTTGTTTTTGTTCTTATGTGTAAGTCTTATGTGTAAGTTAATTTTTGTACACAGTGTTAGAGTTTTAAGTTAATTTTTTTGCATATGGACATTCTGTTGTCTGGGCATATGCTCAAGTCTTTCTCATTGAATTATTCTGGGATTTTTATCAAAAATTAATTGGCCATAGATGTTTGCATTTCCTTCTACATTCTCTATTCTCTCTCAGGGGTCTACAGCTCCATATTTATGTCTTTATTACATAACATAGACTACTGCAGGGTTGTAGTACGTTCAGAAATTAAAAGTTTAAATTCTCCATTTTTTAAAAAAAAGATTGTTTGAGCTACTGGGTCCTTTACATTGCCACGTGTATTTAAGGATTAGTTGTGCTACCAATAAAATGATAAGAATTGTGTCCAATCAGTAGATCAACATTTGTGCACTAGCACAATTTAACAATACTTACATTTCAAATCTATAAACAAGGACACTTTTTAACTTACGTAAGTATTCTTTAATGTCTTTCAACAATGTTTCACAGTTCTCAATGTGCAAGTCTGACTCATCTTTTATTAAATCTATTCCTGATTATTTTACTCACTTATTCTTGACATAGGGGCTTGCCATGTTGCCAAGGCTGACAAACTCCTGGGCTCAAGAGATACTTGTGCTTCAGACTCCTGAGTAGGTGTGTCACTGCACCCATTTATTTTATGTGTGATGTTATTGTATGTGAAATTGTGCTTTGAGTTTGTTTTTCAGATTTGTCCTGGTCAGTATGTAAAACTAGAACTGAATTTTTATATATTGATTTTGTGTCCTACTATAATAATAGACTTTTTTTTTTACTGCTACTTATGTGTACATATGTATTCCTTAGGACATATATATGATCATATCACTTACAAATAGAATTAGTTTTGCTTCTTCCTTTAGCCTGAATGCCTTTTATTTATTTTTTTTCCTAACTGTCCTGGTTAGAACCTCCAGTACTCAGCTTGGGAAGCTGAATCAGAAGGATAGCTTACAGCTCATGGCCAGCCTGGGCTACACAGTAGGTTCAAGGTTTGCCTGAATTACATAGAAAGATCCTGTCGCAAAACAGTAACCAAACCAAACAAGACAAAACAAAAATAGACGATACCTTGTTTTGTTCTCAATCTATCAAGTATGACATTAGATTTTTTTTTCCATAGATGATCTCTACCAAGTTTGAAGAGTTCTTTCCTATTCCTGTTTGCTCTCTATCTATATATAGCTTTATATATATGTTTACTTTATATATTTGCAGCTACGTTGTTATGTTCTTATGTTCTTAGCTATGTTTTATGTTCTTATGTACTTATATATTTCATTGATAGACTGATATTTGTTATTGAATGACAATTTTTGTCTCAAAGCAGATTTTTCTGATATTCAATATAATTATTTCCCTAGTTCTTATCAACCCTTATGTTTGAAAAACATGGTTCTGATAGAATGCTTTACAAACCCTCTGGTTTGTTTGTGGGTCATAAATCAATTTTATGATCCACGTTTTCATTTTTAAAAGTAAAATCAGCTCTACTAGAGTAAAATAGAACATTTCCAATGGTATTGCTAATTTATTATATACTCATAGTGTTGAGCATTGCTTGGTGTTATACATACATACAAATATGTCCACATTTGCATCATTTCCTATGGGTTAGAGTAGCCTGCCATCAAGAATGCTGAAAGCCCACTGGGCATAGCGGCACATAATTGTAATCTCAGCACTTTGGGAATTTGAGGCAGGACGGGTGCACGTTCCTAGTCCAGCCTGGGAAATGTAGCAACTGAGGGAAAATCTGTCTCAAACTAAAATATAAAAAAGCCTGGGGATGTAGGTCAGTGTAAAGGTCTTAGGTTCACTTCCCAGTATCACACACACACACACACACACACGCACGCACACACAGAGTAGAACAAGCTGGCTGAATCTCTAGAAAAGGATTGCTGAGACTCCCAGAAGATTATTTGGATTAGAAATAGGACAAAGATACTACTTTCTGCAAAGTAAACTGCACAGAGGC